CATAAGGAAAGCTACAAGTTACATCCTTGCACGTATATCTTTGGCTACTTGTGAGTGTATTTTTTTAGGATAAGTTCGTGGCATTGCTGAGTCAAAGGGTCCCTGCCTGTTAGGGGTTTTTGCCAGACTGTATGCTGGAGCCACACATCACCTATAGCTGTTCCCATGAACAATGAGAGATGTCTCTTAAACTGAGTGAGAGGATTCCCGGGCTGGCCAAATGCAGCCATGGCGGAAGTTTAGGCTGTAGTGCCCAGTGGGGGAGCAGCTTTGGGGGGCCCAGGGTCCCCCCATACACATCTGAATCCCCAGAATTTATGACTAGGTTACCTTAGAAGGCAAAAGGTGCTTTGCAGGTGTGATTAAATTAATGATCTTGAGATGCAGAGATTTTCCTGGATTACTTGAGTGGACCCAACACAATCACAAGCTTCTTATAAGAGGGAGTCAGGAGAAGGAGATGTGATGTGATGATGGAAGCAGAGGTTGGAGTGATGCAGGGCCACCAGCCAAGGAATGCAGGTGAAACCACAAGAAGGTGAAAAGGGCAAGGAAACGATTCTCCTCAGAGCCTCCAGAAGGAATGCAGCCCTGCCAACCCATTTTGGACTTCTGACCTCAAGAACTGTAGGGTAATAAATTCATGTTGTTTAGCCACTACGTTTGGGGTAATTTTTTTTTTTTTTTTAATGGCTGTGTTGGGTCTTTGTTGCAGTGCGTGGGCTTTCTCTCTAGTTGTGGAGAGCAGGGGCTAGTCTTCGTTGTGGTGCACGTGCTTCTCATTGCAGTGGCTTCTCTTGTTGTGGAGTGCAGGCTCAGTAGTTGTGGCTCACAGGCTCTAGAGCGCAGGCTCAGTAGTTGTGGTGCACGGGCTTAGTCGCTCTGCAGCATGTGGGATCTTCCTGGACCAGGGCTCGAACCTGTGACCCCTGCATTGGCAGGAGGATTCTTAACCACTGCGCCACCAGGGAAGTCCTGGAGTAATTTGTTACAGCAGCAATAAGGAACTAATACATCTCCCTCCTGCTACCAGGCCTCGAAACCTCATTGTCTAAGGGATGAGGGTCTCCCTCTGCGCCTAGCAGCCTGATGACCTGAACATCACCCTCTCCCTTAACCAGAGGCCCTCCAGGCAAAGCATACCCAAGGTTCTGTGCATGGGGGACAGAAAAGGAGGTGCCCCAGCCCTCAGGGCCCATCCTTGACCAGACTGTGAAATTATCCTCAAGGATGTTGGAAAATGGACTTGCTTAAGGTCATAGGGTAAGTGTGAGGTGGTGCCAGGACTGAACCCCAGGGTCTTGCCTGGCAGGCCAGTGAGGTCCCCATCCACTCCACTAAGCTGAGCCTCTTTCTTTGCCAGTCTGACTTGCCCTCCTGGAGAGAGGTAGTCATTCACACTTTAGCATGAGTAAGATAGGACAGCTGCCTGTACATACACCACCTGTCAGTATTGTATTACTACAGAGTAGCAGAGTTCCACTCTCATGTTGAAAACCAGGCTTGGGGTGGGTAGTTTCCCTTCTCATCCACTCCAGGGCTCACAGAGTCCTGCTGGCCACCTCCAACCCTGAAGTCTCCTTCTAGGCCTCCCCAAAACAAACTCAGTTCTTGCCCTCCACAGGGAGTTGCTCATGCCTGTGGTCATGATGGTCCCTGCTGTTTAATAAGAATTCTGTGTCAGGTCCAGTGCCCTGAACTTTACCTGAGCCATTCAACAGAGTCCTCTCAACCACCCAGAGGATATTATCCTCCCATTTCACAGATAAGGAAACTGAGCCCCAGGCAGGTTAACTCACATGAACAAGATCATTCAGCTGCAAGCAGAGGAGCAGGGTTCAAAGCAGGTAATCTGACCCCAGGGCCTAGAGCTGCCAGGGTTGGCCTGTAGAAGCACTGGCTTACACAGTCAATGTTTCAAAACCTAGAGATTTTATAAAAAATCTTGATTTCTAGATTCACTTGAAAAATCTGATTCACCAACTGAAAGAACTCAAACAGCCGAAGCAGGAACTATTTGAGCAAGAAAATAAAGTAATATAATTCAAATTATAAAATAAATACCCATGAATTCATACTGATATAAATGATTGAATAAATAAATAAGTGAAGGAGAAGAGACAAATTTCCCATACAGAATAAATCCAAATAATTGATATAGATACTCTGTCCTCAAGGAGGTGGAACATAACTCCTCATTTCTTCAAAAGGTACCTTGTAGAAAGCTGGAGGAAAAAAGAGTCACTTTATAGCAGAGTAACCTGACAAACACTATTTCAGCCAGGTCATCAAGGTCAGCATCACATCGGCAAACGGTCACAGTCCAGAGGAGCCCAAGAAGACATGACGACTACATGTAATGTGGGATTCGGGATGGGATCCTGGAACAGGAAAAGGACAGTAGGGAAAACTAAGGATATCCGAATAGAGTGTGGACAGTAGTTAATAAGGATGTATCAATGTTGGCTCATCAACAGTGACCGAAGCAACATGCTAATGTAGGACTATTACACATTGCCTGCAGGCGCCTCCAAAGGCTCACTGCATTCTCCTCGGCCAGGGGCTCCTCTGGCAAAGCCCAGGGGATAGAGGCTGGGTTTGGGTGTCTGGAGAACTGGGTATGAAGCTTGTCTCCGCCCAGATTTACTCTGTGGCCATGTCCAAATTCCCTTCCCTCCCAGTGCCAGGTGCAACAATAAACCCTGTCTCCCTGGGGCCCTGGTAGCCCTCGAGGACCCTCTCAGGGTGCTGGTGCCTGCTCAGGCAGCCCAGCTTTTACTTGTGGTGTAATTGCTAGTCCTGAGGTGCCCAGAGCCTGTTTTTTGCAGGACTGAGTGAGTCATCCTGGGATCATTTGCCTGCTGGGCAGTGGGGGATGTTTGGTGACAGTAAGGGAGGAGCATCCGCTGTTTTTTCACAGACACCTGGTCGTGCTGGGGAGGATGCTCAGTGCCCTGACGGGGCTCCTCTGGCTGCCCCCAACCCCACACCCAAGGCCCTGGGTCCCTGCCTCAGAGTGAGTGAGGGTCTGGCTGAGCCATCCCTCCTCCTGCGCTAAGGGATGAGTTAGTGATGGCCTTCCCGAGTAAGCAGTCGTTGGGGGTCAGTTGGAGGCAAGGACTGATGGTTTGGAGGTTGTGGCCCCAACCACACCCCTCTGTTGGGTTCCCATTTCCCTATATCCAGGAGTGTGGAAGGAGTCCTTCCCCATTGCTCACCCAGCTCTGGCCTGGGCACTGAGAGATGGGGCCGATGGGAGAGAAGACAGGAGCAGTGGGCGATAAGAATCCAGACGGGGCTTCCCTGGTGGCACAGTGGTTGAGAATCTGCCTGCTAATGCAGGGGACACGGGTTTGAGCCCTGGTCTGGGAGGATCCCACATGCCGCAGAGCAACTAGGCCCATGCGCCACAACTACTGAGCCTGCGCGTCTGGAGCCTGTGCTCCACAACAAGAGAGGCCACGATAGTGAGAGGCCCGCGCACCGCGATGAAGAGTGGCCCCCGCTTGCCACAACTAGAGAAAGCCCCTGCACAGAAATGAAGACCCAACACAGCAAAAATAAATTAATTAATTAATAAACTCCTACCCCCAACATCTTAAAAAAAAAGAAAAGAAAAGAATCCAGACAAAGTAGGAGAGAAAGGAGGGTTGGAGCCTGGGCTCCAGGAGGAAGGCTCAGTGTGGTAGGGGGAGAGGGTGGCAGAGGAGGGACGTCTGAGACAGCGGGCATGTGTGGCCTGGAGCCCGGGCACTAGGCTGAACTGCTGCTCCCAGCTAAGGAGACCCTGTGCCAGCTGGATGCAGGCAAGTGGGCACGGGCAGGGCTGCCTGCCAGACAAACACAGAGAGCCCTTTGAGTGGGTGGCAGCTGTCACCCCAGACTCCCCTCTGTTTGCTGTGGCCCTGCCTGCCCCCTCTAGCCCAGGAAAGGCCCCCAGGAAGCAGGGACAGTTTGTATGTGATGGGCAGCATAACAAAGTGGTCAGACCCTTGGTACTGCCTTCTGGTAGCCGAGGGGTCTCAGAGCCTCAATCTGTTTGATGTAACATGGGAACAGCAAGGCCTACCTGGCAGGGGGCGGGGCAATTAGGATGCACAGGTATGTGCACAGTGCTTGGACACCATGTCAGATGTGGAAGAGCTGAAGAAATCGGGAGTTTAACCCGGAGAAAAGAAGGCTCAGGCCCTGGAATGCCTGTCTTCCAGTGTCTGAAGGCTGGTCTCTGGTGCAGGGACGGCCTGGTTATGGGTGGCCCTTGAGTGGGGGTTACCAGGAGACAGGATCCTCCCTAAAAGCCCGTCCAGCTCTGTCAGGGTGACCTGACGATCAGCCAGGCTGTTCCCGGGGAGGGGCAGTCAGGGGAGAGCAGAGCAGGCGGAGGAGCTCTGGGCAGAGCTGTGTGTGGGGTTTTGGTGAGGGCGGGGGGAGGCGGGGGTGTCGCTGGGCTTTCAGCTGGGTGAGTGGGAAGGGTTTCTAGGAGCCCTGCTCCGCTGACTTGCAGTAGCCCTCAGACAGAGATTGGGAGCCCAGCCAGACCACCGGGCAGGCGCCCAGCACCCTGGTCTGGGCAACGTGGGGGTGGGGGTGGGGGGGTTCTGGCCTCCAGACCTAGCGGGCGCGCAGGAGATGCTGCGACTCGAGGTGGCCCCTGAAGGACGGGTAAAGGGTGGAGGCCGAGCCTCGTCGCCGCGTTGGGCCGACAGAAAAATGCCGGGGTCCGGGGTCCTCGCCTTTAACGCGGCCCCGGGCGGAGGAGACCGGAGGGGGAGGGGCGGCACGGGGCGGCGCATGCGCGGCGTGGGCTGGAGCGGCTGGACAGTCCGGCTGCCGGGAGATCGCAGGAGTCAGTCGGGAGCCCCGAGAGCGCCGGGACCCCGCGCGGGGGGCTCTGAGCGGCGCGGCAGACCGGCGTCCGGAGCCTGCCGGCGCTGCTGCCCGCCCGGGCCCCGAGAGCGGCGGCCAAGATGTCCGTGCCGGTGAGTACTGACCGCCGGCCGGGACCGCGACCTCGCGCCGCCCGCTGCAGGCCTAATGCCGCCGGGGCTCCGGGCTGGGGGTCACCCCACCTGGGCCTTCTCGCGTCGGGGGATGGGGGCAGCCTGGGGTTTCTCCGCGAAGCCGGCCTCTCCGCCCCCGCCTTTCTTTCCATCCTCTCCCTGGAGAGCCGGGTCGGGCTGGGGTCCGTGCTGTCCCCCAGGAATCCCTCCACCACCAGGACGGCTAGGCCTAGTGGGGAGAGGTCTCTGCCGCTCCCCGGGAACCCTCCTACAGGATGGTTGGGCTGGGTGAGGGGGCGGGGTCTGCGTAGTACCCCTGGGAATCACCTAGGACAGCTGCCCTGTTGTGCTCAGGGAGCTCACGGGGATGGCCAGGCCTGGAGCCCGGTCTGTACCTCTCCCAAGACCGAGACACCCTTCACCCGGGGCAGCCTGGCGGGGTGGAGATCTGCGCCTACCCCCCAGAACCGGCGGATGCACTCACTTTCCCGGGAAGTTTACCTCTGCGGCTGAACCCCCAAGGGTTCAGGGCCCAGCCTTTTCTTCCCTCCTAGCCATGGGGGCTTCTCTTCTCACCCGACACCCACTCCTCCTAGCCCAGCAGGCAGGCTTGGGCAGCCCCCCAGGGCTCCACACTTTGGCCGGCAACTGGAGGCATCTGAGTCCCACCTCCTGAGGGTGGCAAGTGATCCTGGCCACCGCTGGTCACCAAGCCTCAAGCGCAGGCCCTAGCCCGCTTTACAGATGCACAGACTGAGGTGGGGGCTGACACCCTGCTTCCTTCCTTCCCGGAAGGGGCACCTTCTGCTGGAAAGCTGTGGCCTCCAGCCATTGTTTCTCTGCTGCGTTAGGGGCTTTCCCTCTGACAGGAAGGGGCAGTGGCCCAGCGCGCCTGTCCCCTGACCTGTTTCTGGAACTGCTGGTCACTTGGGGGACCCCGTCCTTACGGTGAAGCAGACAGCTGGGGCTTCCTGGCAGGGCAAGTGGACTTTTAATTACCCACCGTAGAGTGTATGGAGATTACTGGAGGAGAGACGCTGTGTAAGTGCAAAGCATTGTTATTATGGAATTAAAGATCCCAGCTCCTGCCCGCCTCCAGAAGCAGTAATGCAGAGTTACTGAAGAAAAAATTAGGGCTTCCAGACCGTACTGATGTGAAGTCCCCACCCCCATCTGTTCTGGTTCAGAGCATAATTGCCTCATCTTTAGAAAGAAAGAAGACAGAAAATGCCTGCCAAGCCCTTCTCCTGCCCTGCTTTCCTGCAAAGCTCTGGGTCTCTTCTGGCTCGGGGCATTGGGGGACCTGCCCTGATCCTATGGGCACTGACCAGAGAGATGAGGTGGGCCACCTGAGCCTGCTTGAGGACCTGACCAGAGAGATGAGGTGGGCCACCTGAGCCTGCTTGAGGACCTGAGTCTCCAGGGCAGTAGTGAACGGGGCATGTGACTCCGGCCACATAAGAGGCTGGACAGCCTAAGTTTGGGACGTCTGCGCTTGATTTGGTGTGGCCTCCACAATCACAGCAGAGGTGCGGATCTGGAGTCTGGGATGGCACCCAGACCCCTTGCCTTATAGAACTTTGGGCAGCCTTCCTGGGCTCTGTGCCTCAGTGGCCCCATCTGTAACAAGAGAGGGATGGTGGGAGGGCCAGGCTCTGGGTGTGATTTGGACAGACAGGCACTGCTGTGGACACCTGCTGTGGAGACCTGCAGTCCAGCTCTGCTCCGTCTCTACACACCATTGCCGGCTCCACGTCGCTTCCCACCCTCCCATCTGCAGCCACAGCCCTTGGAGATTCTGAAGAGGGGAGTGGGGGGGGGTCTCACCCTCTGCCCCCTACATGCTGGGCTGTCAGATCACCCTGGCTGTCTCCTGGGACCTTGAGCAATGTGTGAACTGGTGGCACTGGGAGAGGAAGTTCATTCTGGGAGCAGCCATGAAATGTTCAGAAAATTGCTTTCATGTGCTGATGAGTGGTGAGGCCAGCCAGCCTCCTGCTCAAGCCCTGCTTTGCGAGCCCAGAATGGTGACCGCCCATGTGGTGCTCACGGACACATTTGGGTTTTAAGCATACCCCTTCATTTGGGCAGTCTTTTCCTGGATGGGGCTGACGCAGGCACTTCGGCCCACAGCAATTATAAAATGCTTCAGAATGGGATGGGAGGTGATGGCGGTGAGAGAAGAGGCTGGGGCGAACCAGGTTGGGACAGGAGTGACCTCCTGAGTGTTAGAGCTGGGGGGCCCAGCAGGGATCAGCTTGTCTCCCTCTGTCATTTGACTCACGTGGGGTCTGGGGCCCAGAGAGGGGAAGGCACATGGGGTCCTCCTGACTCCCTGCTTCGTGCTTCTTCCTCTGCCCAGAGCTGAGGCGCAGTTCACACAGCACCTGGAGGTGCACTTCCTGGGTGCTCTCTGACATCCGCCTTCTTCTTGGGTATGGCTGGTCAGCACCCAGGACTGTCTCTTCTCTCTGGGCAGGCAGGAAGCATTTGGAAGGAAGATGGCTGTGCCACCCCCTTCAGACCCCTGGTGGGCATTGGAGTGACACTGCCCCCCGGCACTGTCAGGCAGGAAGCCAGCTTCCAGCTTGTAGAGAAGCTGCCTGCTCTCTGTTCCTGCCTCTTGTTTCCTGTCTGGGAAATGGGCACAGCCATTCCAGCCCCTCCTTTGCTCCTTTGTTAAGTGAGGAATGGGTCCTTTCAAGGAGCTAAGTGCTGACGTGTGTTGAGTGCATTCTGTGTGCCAGGTGGTGGGCTCGGGGAGGACCTGTAGTCTTGCCAGGGTCGCCTGGCCACTGAGAGATGGAGCCAGGGTGGGAACCAAGTCTGGCAGGATCCAAAGCCAGAAAGTGAGTGTGGCCTCTCTAATTGTAGGGGCTGTGGCCTGTTGAGCCATCCACAGAGGCCAAGGCTGCTGAGAGAGCGACCCTCTGCTCGTGGCTTTCTGAGCATGAGTTTGGGTAACCCCTTCAGCACCCCTGGACATGAGGCAGCTGGGCCTCTGGGCAGCCAGGCAGCTCGCCCGGGGCTGTAGCCCTGCGGGCCCCAGCAGCAGTCAGTGGAAATCGGCGGGGCAGGAGTGGCACCTGGTTGAACCTCTGCCAGTGGTCCCAGGGTGCCCTTTGTGCCTGGCTCTGTGCCAGCCACCACTGTGACTGGAGAGCTGGCCAGGGAGCTGGGAGGCTCTGCCCTGGGCTCACCACTGGCCTGGGCAGCCAGGCCATGGACAGCTGGGGCCTGGTAGAACAGGCTCAAAAGAGGACAGTGGGAAGAGGCAGTGTCCAAGTCCAAGGTCCTCAGTTCAGTCTCCAAAGGCCCTGGCACGCCCCTGCTGCCACACTCCTCCCGCTGGCCTTGGACTCTGCCCGGCCCTCCCTCGGCAGGAAGGTCTTCAGCCGATGCCCTGCTCACCTCGTCACTCCCGCTCGCTTAGGCAGAGGGCAGCGTGCCAGGAAGCCATCCAGGATTCCCATCTGTGATAGTGCATTCATCCTTGGGGTTATCTGGTGCCTGCTAGGTTCCTCAGGGCAGGACCAGGCCTGCTTGGTTCCTCTCTCTCCAGCCTATCCTGGCCACCTGCCAAGGAAGTGGCCCTGGGAGCACCGAGGAGCCCACTGCCATATAGGAGTCTATGTCCCTGTGCAGAGAGCCTGCATCCCAGCCACTGTCCTGGAAGCCTTGTTGGGGGCTGAGTGGGTTCCCAGAGAGGCTAAGTCTGGGTGGGGAGGATTTGTGGTGGGTTGAGGGCAAGGGCTCCAGAGTGAATGGTGCTGGCTCGTCTGAGCCAGTTACTGAACCTCTCTGAGCCTGTGTCCTCTGTGTTGTGGGGATGTTAACAGCACTGAGCTCTTGGGGTTTTATGAGAACTTGGTGAGGTTTGCAGAAAGCTTTTACTAAGAGGCTAATAAGTCATAGCAGCTACTGCTGTTGAGGTTATTATCTTTATCCTGCCACTGTTGACTGGTGCAGTGGCCGAGACCCACTCCTGGCACCGGCACGACCAGCTTGGGAAGAGATCAGCTCCCTGCCCCCATAATGTTCCACGCCGCCCAGCCTGCCTCCAGTAGCTTTCTCTTTATGGTCGGGTCCGGCCAGGGCCTTAGCAGTGGAATGACCCCAGCCCCTCCCCTGCCTCTTGAGCCTTGGATGGACAGGTACGTGTCCTCACCCCACAGATAGAGTGGCCTCCAGTGGGGCCACCGCCTGGTCCACTGTGCCTCAGACCAGCTGCATGCCCTGCCCTGAGGGCCCCCAGGAGCGGGTGCAGGGCTGCCGGCTTTGGGAGCTGTTGGATCGGTGGGTACAAGCCTGACTTCAGATGTGGTCAGCAGTGGCCTGGCCAGCATGGAACAGGCAGGGTCCTGGGTGGGAAGAAGAGCACGCCGGAGGTGGGTCCTGGTACTTTAAGGGAGGGGGCTCAAGCTTGTGGGTGAGGCAGGTGGGCCGCAAGGCTGTGAGGGTGGCACCTTGTGACCCCCCGCCTCCCATGGCCTGGCATGAGGCCTGAGCTGCACCTGCCCTCCCGTCTCCTGCCCTTTCTGTGCTCTTCTTTGCCTCCCCAGCCTCTGACTTGGCTTCATCGCGACCGCTTGCTTTGATTGCATCCTAGTCTAACCCTGTTGTTTCTTTGGCTTTCTTTAGTTTGCTGGGCCTTTGTCTCCCTCTCTTCAAGAAAAAGACCTGGAGGGGGGACTTCCCTGGCAGTCCAGTGGTTAGGACTCTGCGCTCCCACTGCAGGGGGCTCAGGGTTTGGTCCCTGGTCGGGGTAAGATCCTGCATGCTGCTCAGCCCGGCCAAAAAAGAAAAAAAGAAAAAGACCTGGGGACAGGTTGGGGACCTTGGAGGTGGTGATGCATGCCTGCTCTGCCAGGAGAGGTGGTCACAAGTTGTGGCTCTAAAGTTAATCCCTTCTCTAAGGGGAATTAGAGGCTGAGGGAACTTTTTAGTAATTTTAATTTATTATTTAAACCCTGCTGAGTTCCAGTAAGGAGTTGAAGCAGATTATAGTGAAAGACACAAACAGTCTGGGATCATCGAAAGATCCAGAACTATGTACTGTATGGGGAAGGTAGGCATGCAGGTTTAACTTGAAGCTCCCTGACAGCCAGGGCAAAAAGGGTAACACGGTGGGTTTAGGATTGCAGTACCTATTTTTTGGTATTCCTAATGCTATGTATTGTTTCCTCTGTGCTTTGTTTTATTTTTACCAGTTGAGACTCTCTTGTTGAGGTAGATTTTCTTTTTTTTTTTTAATTTTATTTATTTTTGGCTGTGTTGGGTCTTCATTGCTGCATGCGGGCGGCTGTCTCTAGTTGCGGCGAGCGGGGACTACTCTTCGTTGCGGTGCGCAGACTTCTCATTGCGGTGGCTTCTCTTGTTGCGAAGCACGGGTTCTAGGGCGCACAGGCTCAGTAGTTGTGGCACGCGGGCTCAGTAGTTGTGGCGCATGGGCTTGGTTGCCCCGTGGCATGTGGGATCTTTCCAGACCAGGGATTGAACCCATAACCCCAGCAGTGACAGGTGGATTCTTAACCACCGCGCCACCAGGGAAGTCCCTGAGGTAGATTTTCTATGTAGTGAAATTGAAAGATGTTAGGAATACAGTTGAATAAGTTTTGACTAATGTAGACCCCATGTAACCATCAATCAAATCAAGATAATGAACCTCTCCATCATCTCAGAAAATTCACAAGTACCCCCTTCACAGTCAAGTGTGCCCTACCCCCTGTAAGGTGGTCAACATTCTTTTTTTTTTTTAAAAGGAAAAGCTATGATTATCCTGTGATCTTTTTTTTTAAATTGATTTTTATTGGCGTATAGTTGATTTACAATGTTGTGTTAGTTTCTAAGGTGGCCAGCATTCTGATTTCTCTCATCATGGCATGGTTTTGCCTGTTCTTGAACTTGAACTTGAACTTGATGTCAGTGGAAGCATATAGTATATACTCTGGGGTCTGGCTTTTTTCATTCAGCAAGATGATTTTGAGATTTTCATCCACGTGGTGTGTATCAGTAGTTCCCTTTTCGTTGCCTTGCTGAGTGTTCCACTTTTGACTGAATTTACGTACTTATCCATTCTCTTGCTGATGGATACCTGTCTCTAGTCTTTCTGTGCTGTGTATTTTTAATACTGGAACACACTAGCGTTAGTGGTGGTGTAATACCCTATTTCAGTATTTTATAAAACCTGATATCCAATCGTGTGTGCGTTGAGGCATGCCCAGAGAGTCGTCTGTGCCCCCAAATCCTGGATTCCCCAAAGCTACACGATTGTCAGAGTGGTGGGACCACATGCCTTCTTGTTCACAGCCCTCCACAGGTATCCAGGGTTTGAATTCCCTCTTCCCAGGTTGGCCATGAGGTGAAGCGTCTTAGGTTTTTGAGTCACCTGTGTTTTTCCCAGGCCTCTGTGCCCACCAGAGGTCCTAGTGGGGAGAGGCTTCTAGGAGAGGATGGAGCCTGTCTTGGGAGCTGACCCTATCCCTCCACCCTCCCTGGTCGGGACAGATTCCTGGTCTCCCCGCTTTGT